ACTGCAGTTACCACCAATTTTTCGTTGTGAATGTGTCCGCTTGCCGTGCCATTAGACAGATTTAGTGAAGCGTCGGCAAAATCACTTACGGAAGTGACTATTGGCCGGGTTGAGCGCGTCTCTGCTGCTGGGGAGTGTGATGATGCGGCCACGTTTTCTGTATTAGCATTATTGGATGGGACGTCATTAATCGAGGAAAAGTTTTCTTCTGAAAAAATTTAATAAAAAAATATATCTTTTTTTTAGAAACTTAAACGCGCATATTTGCTTACTATACATTATAGCTGCGTTATCATTGTCACCATGCTGTTGCTCCTCTCCTGCATAGCCCCCCTGTTCGTCATCTTCAGGTTCGGCATTTGCAATGAACTCTGCAGCCTCCCCATATTCGGTACCGTCAGTCTTTTCAGTCTTATATATATTTCTGAGCTGCCATTCCTCTTTCAAATCCTCTGTCGTGTAAGCGTAATTGTGCTCTTCGCTAAGCAGATGCGTCTGAAGTAAGTCATGTGCACTAGGCAGAACAGATTTATTTCGCTGTTGCCCTTGATGATGCTTTGATTGTTCCGGTTCCTGCTGCTGCTCCTGCTGCTGCGCCTCTGTTCCATTTTCACAATTTGTGTTCGCATCATCGTCTGGTATATTAATAAAAGGATCATCTAGATTTATAATCTCCATTATGTCACAATTATTGATGATGTCCTGCGCATTTAACATAGGAAAATCACAAAAATCATATTTTTGTTCAACGCTTGTATCCGCTTCGTTCTCTTGTTCACAACCCTCGTCCATACCCATATCCAAATCATCAGACAAAAAGCTTTCAAACCCCTCCGCTACCTCTTGCTTGACACGTACCACTGGCTCTTGCTTCACCTTAAGCTGCCTTTCGATGGCGCGTGTGCTATTATTCGCCTTCTCTATCCGATATTTACGTTGCAACTCACTTTGAGTCTCGAGTACTTTGTCGACAAAGCGTGAAAACGTTTCCAAACGTTTGAGGCAAGTGCGACACATTTCTTTCGGCAAGTGATCATCTTTTTGTATGTTGAGTGTGGGAAAACATTTCTGTATCATGCCATAAATCTCGAAATTCGTAGAGAACGATACTACCGACGAGCAGGTACTGCCACACAAGCGACACTTAACTTTCGGTGCGCTCGGCGAGCTTGTCAAAGGAGTGTTTTGTAATCCCTTGAAATTAAAATTAAAATAAGAACGTTTATTAAAGTGATCTATTAGCTTACGTTCTGCTCTTCTTCGTCGCAGTCTTCGACGTTGTCTTCAACTGGCTCCGCAACGGGGATATCGTCGCCATCTGTGGTTTTTTCTTTACTTTGCACTAATAGTTTATCCTTGGATACGTCTTCAGTTGGTGCCGCTTGAAGATTGTCGGGCGCATGTATATGCTTTAACATACGCAAGCTTGGCACTGCTGCCTTCTTTAAAATCTTTCGATCAGCCGAACACTTGAAGTCCTCATCCCGAAAGTGACGACTACAAATAGCACTCCATTTCGAGGGACGCCAATCTGTGCCGCGTTCTGCGAAATCTAGCCATTTCTGCAACAATTCCTCGCGTTTGAAGGGAAATCTGGAAAAGAATGGTACTTTTAAGACTGCTGGGGAATCATTCGCGTGAAACACTAACTTATGAAAAGATATATTGTCCGCATGTCCATATTTATCACTACAGTTTTGTACAGCACAAAACGAAGGCATTTTTATAGGCCTTAGCGATATTTCAATTATTTATTTGTTTCCGAAAATACATAAAATTGTTTGTTTTTTCTTGGATCCCAGCTGCAACTTTCGACTTTTTATCAATAGTTGCGTTCGATAACAAAATTAGCCAACACCAGCCAACAATCAAAATCAAGAGAGTAAGCGAAAATTCTCTCCCAAAGAGATGAAAAAGCAAAAAAGTAAACGAACAGCAAATTAGCCATTACTTGCAAAAACCGGAAGAAGAAGACACACCAGCTGACTTTGTTTATGTTTTATTTGTAAATAAACTGAAATTCATGTTGCCTCCATAGAGAAAAAAGGAAATTGAACGTTCAATGTTCGCCAGGAACATTTCCAGAAGTAAAAACTAGTTGGCGCTATCATAACGTCACATAGCAGGCAGCCAAAAAGCATATAAATACCAAAACTCGGAAAATGCAATTTTGTTTGTTTACAAAAATTGCAACCATATGTTTTGTGATCATATGTTTTTGTGTTGGATAATTTTTGTTGACTAAAATTTTGCCAGTACAAAATGAACGCTTGCTCTTTCAATTTTTGTGTGTTGGATAATTTTTTGTCGTTATCGAACGCCATCCAGTAAAAATTTGGAAAACTATGACAAATTTTTGACTTGTCGAACGCACCTAATTTGTCAAACGCTCAAACAAACCAAACGCGAACTGGAAATGCCAGATTGCACCTGAGGTAAATACTTCACCCTAACCTTTTGGATTCGTGCAACAAATCTGATTGGAAATTTTCCAGTTTCTTATTTTGTAATTTTGAGAAAAACGATTAAGTTTAAGTGCTATTCTTTTTGCAAGTTCTTTTAGAAAAATGCATAACTGCACTCAATAAAAATGCCATGAGCTACTTTGTAAGCGAGTTTTATTTTCATACCAGCATAAAGTATCTGGCAACGCCAGTTTGGCTAGTTCAATGAACAGCTGATTTGACGTTTGTTATCACTAAAATTGATTGGAAGTTATTTATTTTTGTATGTACACATGTACATGCGCGAACTTCCAACACGCTTTACTGAGAGCGGGGCAAGTAGATTGCTAGCAAAATGAGAATTCTATTATATTCTATCATTTTTGGATTGCTGGTAGGTGCTTGTGGGCGGTTGATTAGCACGGCCAGTAGGCGAAGTGCTTTCAGTTGGTTTTCTTCTCTCGCGAAAAGCTCACACGTCTCGAGTAATCAAATACGCAAAATCGTAACTCATCTCGTAGAGAATTAACAAGCACATAGCGCTAATTACTTTCTCCAACGGGATAAAAAGGGGTACGACAAGGTCAACTAAGGTCTCTGTGAGTTGCGTTAAAGGTTTTGAAGAGAAAGTGAAAATTCCCAGCGAGAATGGCACAACTATTCAAAAGTATTAGGGGCACAGTAGTGTTGACACAAAAGCTGTCGAACCCTGCATCGGTGGCAGCAACGACTGGACAGCGGTGGTTCAGGAGCATTCAAAATGAGTATGGATACAACACATGCATGCTTAATCTACATACACATACAAGCAACAGACATACACATCTGAATATAAATGCAAACATTATCGCATATCTACATACATATGTATACGGAGGCATTTGTCATTTTTTGTATATTGCCTACCAATTATCTAATTTACGTAATTTATTTTTACTATTTTTCTTAAGTGACTACGATTTGGTTGTTGTTGGCGGCGGCATAGTCGGTGTCGCATCAGCGCGCGAAATTCTTCTACGACATCCTCATTTACGCGTTGGCTTACTAGAGAAGGAACGTAAATTAGCCGTGCACCAAAGTGGACATAATTCGGGTGTCATACATGCTGGTATCTATTACAAACCAGGTTCATTGAAGGCAAAATTATGTGTGGAGGGTATGCATTTGGCTTATGATTTTCTGAATGAAAAGAAAATACCATACAAAAAGGTGGGCAAATTAATTGTGGCCACCAGCGAGGATGAAGTTGGACGTTTAATGGATTTGTATGAACGGGGCCAAAAGAATTTATGTCCTGATCTGAAGCTAATCGACGGAAATGAAATCAAAGAAATTGAGCCATATTGCGAAGGTGTCAAGGCAATACATAGTCCGCATACGGGCATTGTCGATTGGGGTCTTGTTACAGAGTACTATGCACAAGACTTCAAGCAGGCCGGCGGAGATGTGCATCTCAACTTCAAAGTAAATATGGTTACACTTATACAGGAAGATATGGAAATTAATTAAAAACTATATTATATTGTAATAGGTTTCGAAATTCTTGGAGACCTCGGACAAGGATGCTGATAAATACCCGGTGACTATACGTGGCGCTCGTGACCGCCAACAAGTGCGTACACGTTATGTGCTCACCTGTGGCGGCCTGCAATCGGACAAATTAGCGGAGTTGACAGGCTGTCCGCGTGATCCACGCATTATACCCTTCCGTGGCGAATACCTCTTGCTATCGAAAGAGAAGCAGCATATGGTGCGTGGCAACATATACCCAGTACCGGATCCAAATCTGCCATTCTTGGGTGTGCATTTCACACCGCGCATGGACGGTTCCGTCTGGCTTGGACCAAATGCTGTGCTCGCATTTAAGCGTGAGGGCTACAAGTAAGTTTCATGTATAACTGTTATGCAATCGGTAGTCATTTTCACATTAATTAGCTAACCACTCGCTGTTTTTTTCTTATTTCAGCTGGAATGACATTAACCTTTTGGAATTATTCGATGCGGTACGTCATCCCGGTTTCTTGAAAATGGCTACCCGACATTTAAAATTCGGTTTATGCGAAATGTCTAAGTCAATATTTATAAGATTACAAACCAAAGAGTTGCAGAAGTTTATACCCGAAATCAATGAATTCGATATAAGTGCCGGACCAGCTGGCGTACGCGCACAAGCCATGGACAGCCATGGTAATTTGGTGGATGACTTCGTTTTCGATAAAGGCGAAGGAAAAGGCGCACTAGCACATCAAGTACTGCATTGTCGCAATGCGCCGTCGCCCGGTGCTACCAGCAGCTTAGCCATTGCAAAGATGATTGCCGATAAGCTTGAAAAGGAATTCGATATAAAATGTTAACACTCACTATCTTGACATTAAAGGTTATGCGATTAGGCCTACTGGTTGAGTTGCAATATTTATCGGGGCAGCTAATTATTATTGTCCTTGTGTGTTCTTTTTTTTTGTTATTGCTGATTATTCATGATCGTTGTTGGTTTAGCACTCGCATTTTCAGTTTCACGTATACCTACATATTTACAATTGATTTCGTCCACAAATGTAAAGAACAGTGCATTTATACGGATTCTTGGTACAATAAAGAAACTATTTTAAAAAAATGCCAACAAAAAATATACACATATTTTGTGAAGTAAAATAAAGCAAGTATTTTAGTTTAACTCTAAAATGTGTTTTTTTGTATTACCCCGATTTGTTGACGGCTCATTAATACCGAGTATGTGTATCTCCTTTTGTAGTAGTTGCGCTTCCGGAAAAAGGAACTTTTTGCATTTTTCCGCCAAAGTTTTAAGGCCATTGGCAGCATGCTGACGCATTTTTACATCAGCATCTTCGTCGGCTTCGATTAACTTGAGAACGCGATAAATTGGCAATAGCATTTCTTCAAATTCCAGCAGATTATCGATGCCTGCCAGCAGTTCGCTTAGCACCAAGGTAGCAGCGCGCTTGGCAGGCAGGTATTTGCCAGTACTTAGCTCACAATCGACAAGGTTGAGCAGCTAAAACAAAACAAAAAACAATTATTAAAATTATCTTTCCAGCGGCACGCACACTTCTCACTTCTTGGAAGAATTTTTGCACTTGATAGCAAAGTATGCGCGCCAATTGCGCCAGATTCGAAAAGGACGACATACGGAATTCATTAAGTGGACTTCGCGCGCCATGCATAAAGCAATTCAGCAATGTATCTTTATATTTATAGCATAATGGACCTGAAACGGCAAGATTTTTAAACCACGCAAGCATAGAAATATTGTTGCCTACCCAATTCTTGTCCCACTTTTAGCATCGCTTCTCCCACCACCAACCGATAATCGATTTGCGCCTGGTCGCTAAGGTACTCATCGGACAATGTTTCCAGCACTTCGGCTTCCATCACATGCACCAGACCAACGAACAGCCGTACGCAATTCAAGAATGTATATGATTCCCGATTCTTGAGAGTGGTTAGCGCTAGCGCTATGAGCAAGTGCGCGTTGGCTAGCGTTACACTGTCACGCTGCCGCAACAAATCTAACAACATTTGTATGCCATAGACCTGCATATGAGACTCTTTGGATTCGATTAAGGCGCGCCCTGTATTAAAGGCGCTCGATTGTTGTGCGGCATTCGCTTTTAATTCGCCACTAAGCAGCGTTATTAGACATTTAATACGCTCCTGTATAAGCTGGTTGGGCGATTGCGTTTGCAGCTGACGGAGTGCGGGCACCAAGTCTCGGTAAGTTTCAGGAATTTGTGTTTGTTCAAGTAGCTCTTGGGTGAGGGTGAGTAAAATAAGTAATGTTTGATCCATAGCTTCAGTTTGTTGGCTGCTGATATTAGCCGCATTGCGCTTGCTTAAACGTTGCTGCAGCAATATGCGTAGGAAGCGTAAAAATTCGACGGTATTTTCCGAAATTTGCGCCTTAAGCGGTTGATGCGATATAAGTGTGTTAAGGGAGAGTAAAATCTCTACCTTTACCGGGTATTTGGAGTTAAGGAATGCAAGCAACTCTTCCTCGGTTTCCAACAACTCGATTTGCGTTTCTTGTTGGGCGAGACCATCGTCAGCTAATGTGAGCGACATTTGGTGCAATAAAATCATGAATATTCTATAGGTGAGCTGGTGGTGTTCATTAATCATTAGTAGCTCTGGCAGCGCTAATGAGGGACTAAATTCTTGTTTTACATCGATGCTACCTATTTTTACAGTAAGTTGGGTTTGCTCGGCATTAGGATAGATAATTATGCGTGGATGCAGCCGATGCCAATCGTTATCAAATGTTTGCTTATACAATTTGGCTATAATTTCTTTCAACTCATCATTTGTACGATTGTGTAGACAACGCACTACAATGCTTGCAAGTTGTTTCTTTTGCAGAAATCCATCCGGCATATGATAGTACATTTGCAAAAACAGCGGCTGATAAGGAATCAATAATTCACTGGGTAGACATTCAACTGTTGAACTGCAGAATAGTTGATATGTTGCGGCGATGAGCAACGCTAAATCTCTATGTTCCAAAACAATCAGTCCGCTAAGTATGTCTGTCGGTTGACTTAATTTAGCAAGATTATTCGCAAAAATTTCGCTTATCTCAGACTTATTTACTGCGCTTAAATCGTAGAGGCGACGAAGTGATAACAGCCCAGCGCCCATACAGTCGATCATCGCACTTTCATTTAATAAGCAAGTATCAAGAAATTTAAATACTTGTCTTATCAGTACGCTTTGTGCGCGTTGTGTATGACCACGGAAAGCGACTATATTAGAGATAATCTCAAAAACTTGCTTCTCAGTTTGCAACGCTCTGCTCTCATCAGCTCTAGTGGATTGTGCACTTTGTGCCGTATGTAAAGTTGCAACCAACGTTGTGAATCCATCTTTGGATAGCAGTTTTTGTATGAGTTCTTGATGCAGTTGCTTTTGCAAGTCAGTTGGCGCACGTGGTATGCCCTTCATCAGCATTATATTGCGCATGTATTCCACTTTGGTTATATATAGCCAAATATAATTGAGTTTGTTTTGCAACACCTTAAGCGATTGTTCCTGCAGTGAGAATTCTTGCTTAACATTTGCCAAACGCAAACTGAATATTGCTGCCATGTAGTCCCGCATCACCGTCTCCATCGCGTTTGCCATATGAAGTTGCTTGATTTTTAGGAAGCGCTCAAATACTTCTATGGATAATAGAAGTAAAGCTGGATTACTGCAACCACTTTTTGATGCGACCTTATCTTTAAAAACGCTTGCTTCATAGAATGTGCTATGTAACTGCCCATGTAAGGCATATGTCGCCACATCCTGTACTGCTTCAATACATTGGTTCAGGTGATGCGTCGATATGAGATCTTCTTTAGCTTCGCTGTTGAAGTCAACACTGTCTATAATTTGGAGTAGCATAAATTGCATATATGCGACATAGGTGAGCTCTTTGTCTTCATTAGCGATATGAAGAGGATGAGATTGCAACTCATTTTCCAACCACTGAGCATTAAGTGTGACTAGAATTTCCTGAAGTAATACGTTTACTTCCGCTGGTATTAACTTCTGCAGTATTGAAATATTGAGTTCCAAGCGATGCCTTCGGTTAACACCAAGGTTATTTCCTGCAACCCCTGGATTACAAGAGTGCCTATTTTCATCATTTGGAAACTGTGTATTATTAATATTTTTACCTTCGTCATCTGTGAGTTTCAGAGTCTCTAAAGCTGAGAAATACTTTGCAACATTAACGCCGTCCATTTGTTCGTTTATTTTGATAAAAAACGTTAACTAGAATGTGAAAATAAATACATATGAAGGACAAAGAAAAAATTGTTTACAATTCGGCGATAGAGTTGCATTGTGGCAGGACTAGATATGTCGAAAAAACATCGATGCATCGAAAATATCGACGTTTTGCTTCGATGCATCGAAAATTTTCCACTCGATGTTTTCTGTAAACTAGCATCTCAAGTATATCGAACGGTCAAACATCATTTTGTCTGAAGTTCATAAAGAGGAAGATGCAGTTTTATAGCTCATAAAATGTTGGAATAATAAAGTGCAAGTTTCAATTGCTTTGATTTTTAATATTTTTTCTTTGGCTGACTTGCACTTGTTATACTAAAATTTTATGAGCTATAAAACTGCATACACAAAAAGGTTCTTAATGTTTTATTTCTAGAGTTCTAGATGCATATCGATGTATGCCATCCGATGCAACGACAATTATCGATGTAAGTTTCGATGCATCGATGCGAGAAAAAATATCGAGGTATTTTTGCACTAAAATTCCTAGGCAAGACAGATGTGAAAAGGGCGACACTAATGAACACAAAAATATTCCTAACAGGGTGGATTTAGAATTTTGGTACCAAAAAAGGTAAATTTATAAGAAGGGACAACTTCCAAAGAACGTAAATCTATAAATTTATCTTTGGATTTACGTTGTTTGGTTCCTAAACGGTTCGCTCCGCCATTTGGTACAAATTTCTGTCATGTAATTTATTTCTATCACCCAAATTTTATGGTAGTGTATTTTTGCAACTCTGCAGAAAAGTACGAATCATGACCAAAGCAAAATAAACGATTGACAGACGTAATAAAACTGTCATTGTCAATTCTTAACTTTTGTGATTTCTTCGCGATTAGGCAGTGAAAAAGTTCGATTATTTAATTTTCTTTCGTACAATCGCCAGCAAACATTAAAAATCCGAAATAAGTTTCATTATCGAACAGAAATCTTAAATTTTGTTTTCTTTTGCATATAAGAATTATGGAAAACTAATTGGTGTGGTAATAAAAAAGTGCCAGAGAAAAAAATCGAAGGCGAAAACTTTCTTTTATATGTATTAAAAACGGCGAAAGCAGCAGCTGTTAAAATTAGTGGTAATTGTGCAAAAGTATTACCTATAAGTGTATGCAAAACAGTGAAACGGAAAAAATATTTTAGTGCATTCTAAATTTACCACGTCCGTCAGGCTGTCGCCGGATAGAAGCGGTGGATTCACAACTAGTGGGCGTTTCGTCATCAACGTCAGTTAACGCTACCACTACCCACCGTCCCCGCGTAACGCATGACTCGTAGCCCACTTCGGGTGGATGCGCAATTCATATTGCAATAGCGAGTCCCAACTCAATATCAACGTGTAATTTTTTACTACCTGTCGTGCAGCATCCGCAAACGTTCCATACTTGCGGTCGACAGCACAACCACCTTGGCGTGGTCAACCAATTTTCGACAACATGAAGAAAATATTTTCAAAATTCGATAAAAATGAAAAACTGGATAATTCGCACAATTACTCCACGTCGAAGGAGACCAACAGTTTCGTTGGAAAAGTGTTTACGGTGGGACGTGTGAGTGTTACCGTCGAAGATGTATTGGCCGAAGGTGAGTTGGCAATTGATTTTGTTTTATAAAGAAAAATATATATAATAGAATAGTGCAATGATTGTAATAGTCATGTCTGTTGTATTGGTGCAAGAGCAGTTACTTCTGGTATGTGCTGTGTGTATAATACACTACTTGGAATAGTAAACTCATACATATATACATACTACATATATACGTAGTATATTGGGGCCAATTGCTATGTAGTACAATGGGTTTATTTTCTTATCTGCGGCAGTTCCACTTGAGTATGTCAACGTAGGCTGATTGGTCAGAAGAACATTTGAATTGTAAAGATTAAGTTAAGTAACTCACTACGTATGTACATAGATGTGTACGTAACGTGGACTTCAGGTGCAGCGATATCTTAAGATAAGATAAGCTTTTATATTGCTCATATGAATATAACTGCAAATGTGGACAGTTTGCGATCTACATAAATTTAATATTCAAAAATAGCACATGCATGTATTTAAAAAATAGCACAGCCAACCAACATTTTTGTTAAATTTTGGCTAGAGCTTAAGTATTCCAAAATTACTTAAAAAATTAACGCCACGTGACATCCGTTTTCCTAACCTTCGATTTTATTATTGACCTAGACATAATTTAGTTTCGCTTGTCTACTTTAAATTTCTTACGTACAATGCCAAAGTCTGGGGCATGCCTACGGAGGAAAACTACCAATAATGCACACATACATACATACATCCTCATATAGACATGATTGTACAATCAAAATGTTTACGCCTCCTTTACAATGAAAGCAAATATGCATTTACTGAAAAACGTATTCTTGTAGCTGCAACTAAGGGATTGTTATTCCTATAAGAAATCTATATACTGCTAAAGGACACGACTTTTATGAACTTTTATGGATAAATGGCTAATACAAATTAATAATATAAGGACCGATATTTTCCTAAATTGTACTGGCTTTTTTGCGTCTAATTTATAAATAGAACATTTCATCTGGTCTTTACTACTAACGATCTTGTAACAAATTTTGAACTAAACTTAGCACCAATATTGCGAAATACCTCACATCATAAAGCATTAACCATTAAATTTACGTTATACAGATTTGAACGTGTGGTAGACTGCTCTAATCAATCTCTTAGCTATGAAAGGGCCACCTTTACTGTGATTAATTCAGAATATGCCTTCTTAATTGAGCCTTACCTAATTCCGAATCTATATATAAATTAACCAAAAAGAGTTTACAACAATCGCTTCCCAGAAGTTAATTTAGGTAGGCCTTCTTAAGTAACGGCATTCTAAGAGGCCTCCCTAAGAGTGCTTTCTTGCATGACATCTAGAACCAATTACAGTTCACGCGAATGTATAAATTTATACTATTTAGCATTACAAATGAATTTCAATAAACATTTTAAGTTGCAATAACACATACATACATATTTGATATAAACCTTAAGCAAATACTTCAAAGATGTATGATTTTTATAAATTAAAGAAACAACTTTAAAAGAACTCCTCCAAAAGGCCTTCTGAAGTACGTTCTATACAAGAGGCCTTCCATGGGTAGTAAAAGAAGAAGCCCTTCAATTTGTGCCACTCCATACAAAAAAGAAAGGAATGTGGAGAGGAAGGCCTCTTGACTCTCAGGAAGGCCTTTCGGAAGGGCTTTTAACTCCTGAAATTATCTACTGGGTTCGTATCTCGTTCCTCAGATACAGCCTATTCGGCCCAGCGAACCACCTTGGTCTATACGCTTTCGTATACGCTTCAATTTCTTTGTGGAAGTACCTGTCGGATTTCCTATATCGACCGTGGTGTCGACTGGGTTCCTATGACGAATACAGCTTTTTCAGCCGAGTACCTTTCAAATGCTTGGAATTAATTAAATTAATTGAATAAACAAATATTTACATATTTCTTGCATTAGTAAATCGCAACAAGATTGTTCATTTTTAAATTTAACAAACTTGTTGATTCAAATTAATGTTGACAAAAATGCAACCGTGTGCCACAATCCTGCTGGCAAAAATTTTCCCAGCACGAATTTGCAACTTCCCCTCCAAATGAAATGTCAAAATTGTGCTCTCTCCTTGCAAGTTTTACTGGGTTTTTGGCTAAACGAACACGATTTGGTAACAATTGGTACCAACTTGTAAAAATTTTGTGAATAGCGAACACTCCTTATATTAAAACAAAATTGAACGTAAGAAAACAAAAAATAAGTATTTGATGTAGAAAAATTAAGAATTTTTTTTTTTTTTAATATTTTTTGTTTGTCTATAGATTAACAGTTTTTACTGCGATAAAATCGCACGGATGTGTGCGTACTTGCGTTTTCGAAGCAGTAACGTCTGTAGCATCAAAAACGGTGCGGATTCTTTGCGACAGAATCACATAGATGGATGCCTTAAATCACTTTACCAGAAATTGATCTTCGAAAGGGAGAGCAAGCTAAATTCCAAACCATCTATCTTTTTTGCATTTTATAAATTCAAAAAGAAAAAGGGCCTGGGCACTTACTACAAAAAAATGCTTGTGTAAAATCGAGTAAATTCTTACAGCCGGCTTCACCCATGATACAAAAAAGAAGGTAGTTCCAATGTCACTTTTTCGTCGCCATATTAACAACGTGACAATTAAGTAGATTGTGACATTTCGTGCTACCGTAACCCAGAGCAACAAATTTTAACACACACGTATGGTCAAACAATTAAACGTTAGTTTAAAATTAAAAATTTCAAATTTACAGATACAAATTTATGATTAAATTCAGTTTGAAATATGGACCTTTTTGTAAAAAATACTGTGGTCAGCGTAGCCGGACTTGGACTGATGAGGGTTATTTTTTCTATGCGCTGCCGAAAGCCTACAACGTGGAAAGATATTTTGCGCAAAAATCCTGTTGTTGGCATAACCCGAGTTTACTTTTCTCTGTCAAAATGCTAATTTTACCCCATTTTTAAATGGATCGCCGCACTTGAAACAACAAGTATAACAAATGTTGATCAAGATTTTAAATATTTTAATCAGATATTCTAGAATTTTTTGAGTATGTAGTTTTGTAGCCCATTAAATTGTTGTGTAAAAACGTGCAAAATTGAAGCAGCTTGAGCTTACAGTGGATTTTCGGAAATTTTTTGTTCGCGCATATTTATTCCACCAAACAAAGTATGTTCAACAATTGTTTTGTATAGAGAAAATGTGAAACATCTTCCACAAAAAAAAAAATTACCAAAAATTTTCACTTTGACCATCTTTGCAATAGTATATTGATGACCATCTTTGCAATAGTATATTGATGAGTTTTAAGAAATTTTTAAGCCAACAAAACGCGATTTTCTAGCGTCTTGAAATTTGCACTTAAACCTACTAAAATTTAATGAGCTACAAAACTGCGTACCCATAATTTTTCTAAAAGTTCTAAATTAAATTTTTTGGGTGCAAATTCTAAAGTTCGTTAAATTTTCATAAATTTTGTACGAAGTTGGTAAGGTAAAGTGCTAAACTTTTATAAAAAATATAAACATTAAATAAACAAAAGAAAAATAGTCAAACTACTCAAAATGTCACTTGACTTAATCAGCTGACCACAAGGGTACATACATATGTATATATGATATGAAATAAGAGCTTGTCAGACCTGGCAATGCAATATATTTGGAAAAGGCTGTCAAATTCAGAAATTTCAGAAAGCAGTTGCATGAGCAGTCACACCTTGCATGCAAAGTATCTTTCGAAAGAGGTTTTTTTATTACCGAAAGACGAATTGCAGATGGTTAGTGCAGCATGAGCAAGTTGAATTATACATACATATGTACATATGTATTTCCGAAATCGATTTTCGCTCTCTAAATTGCAGTAAAACCTTGCAACTTTTATTTCTGAAACTGATTTCCGAAATGTTACAGAAAGGTCACACATCGAAATAAAATTTCTCTTTCTCTATTTGGCAGTGAATTGCGTGGAAAAGTTGAAAATATTGCCACGTCTGACACGGTCTATACACTTGCCAAAAATAAACCCAGAAAAAAGTTCAGCGCAAAAATACTGTGAAAAGCGTGACCGGTTTTTTTTTTATAGCGAGGACTGAAGACAACATATTGCATATCAAATGAAAGCTTGATTCTTCTATTACATATTTATAAGAATTTAAAATATTTAATTTGGTAAATTTAAAAAAATCCATATCTATGGTTCAGCATTTTTGGCTGAAATTTGTCTGATTGAATTTTTCGTTCAATATGCGTTCCTTCTGCACTTCACAGATGCTTTTTCGAGGTCAAAAAAAAAAAAATATAAGAAAGCGCTCCTGACGAAAAACGAACCCGGCACGTTCTGGAAGCTAACAAATAGTGGCACGATGATAACTGTAGTCGTTTTCTATTCGTTTCCGGATACGAAAATCCGCGTTGTTTTTGGACGTTCTTGAAAACGTAAATCGACAATAATTGTTTTTTTTTTTTGTTTACGGATACGGAAAATTGTACGAGATCGCACTGTCGGCAAAATTTACGTTTCTCTGTTGACTGTTTTTTATGAAAAAGTAGTAAGCCACGCAGGCAGAGTCGCGTGCATCAGCTATTTTTATATATGAAAATCCTTATTCAAACCATGAATCATAAGTCTGGTTTAAAAGACTTTATCAGTCGCTCTGCAGACCGTTATTAAGTCAGATCAGACGTGTGCACATATGCATGTATTTATGTTTATACGTGTATGTGTACACTGTATTTTAAACAAACGTATCTGCTGCAATGATTATATCTGGCTTCGTATGGAACAGTTGCTTATGCCGAAAGGCTGGCTTTAGTATAATGCGGCATTCGCAGCATACTATTGCGAATGACTCACTGGCGCCGAGCTGTTGAAGAACTTTTGGCAAATAAACGTGCAGACATAGTTCCGCTACTAGAAGGTCAATATTCTTCTTTAGTCTCATTGAAAAATTCCTTGTCGTTTAAAGAATAAAGGGAATAAAGTGTGAAGTACTACATACTAAATGTGAAATACTAAAAATTCGT